TTTCACAGGCTGCTAAGAAACGGTAGACCCCAGTCATCTGCCCTCTGGACACAGAGCCCTTCCTAGGTCACTGGGCCACTAGGGATCAGTATCATCCTGGTACAGGTAAAGGTGGGGGGGTCCAAGGAGAGGCCGAGCATCTCTTGAGGAGCTCTCAGGGTCTTTGGTCACCAAAGTCAGAAGGAAGGAGCCCATGCGTCCCTCTCAGGGGAGCGCTAAGGCAGCCAGGGAGGATGGGCAGGGAGCAGCAGGGTCTGAAGCCCACCGACCTGAGGTTCTGATGTCATATCTGCTGGTTACAGAACTTAACCTTGGGGTCTGGACACAGTGAGTCAGGAAGATGGTCAAGGTTCAAAGTGGCAGCAACTACGTGCTTCCGAGCACAGGGCCACGGCCTGTGGTGCACCTGCTACCCTGTTACATTCTTTGGCTTGTCCTCATCCACCCCCACCACTGAGCCTCCTCTCATTTCCAGGAAGAAGGTCACATGAGATAATGCAGAAAGGAAGCTCGCCTCCAATTTGAGATGTCCCTGGCTTCTAATTTAAAGGCAAAATGGAGCAGGCTGCACCATGTCACACACTCGGTTTTTAATGAAGGAGCTCTGTTTAGTTTCTCCCTTAGCAATTGCCCCACTGGACAAGGAACAGGAGAAAGACTGAGACAGAGCCTGTCATCCCTGTTCCTCTCAGGTCCCTCTCAGCAGGCTCTGGACTGTTCTATGTGCTGCTATCTTTGAGATGCCTCTGTGTACTGAGGAGCCATAAATCACCCAGCAGGGGGTGGGGGCACTCAGCTGTGTGCATGTGCAGGGCAGGGGGAGCAGGAGGGAAGAAGGGTGTGGGAGGAAAGAAAGGAGGAGAGGCTAATGCACAGGGTTTCTCTTTGGGGGGGCATCTTGTTGCTGCTTTCCCCCTCCCCCTCCTCTCTCAGCTGGGTCACATCTACCCAGAGGCATCCTCACCAGAGTCAGTGGGGGACATAACCTGGTGCCAGGAGGGGTGTGCAGGCAGGCCCCCCCACCCTCTCCCCCCCACTCCCTGCCACCCCCACCATGAGGAGAGAGTAGAGAGGGCGGGCACTCTGGCTGGTACTTCCCTGCAGTCTGCAGTGCTTCATCCCTCATCGGGACAGCCACATGTGTGCAGGGTGGCTCCCAGTGTGAGAAAGAGAACGAGAGGAAACCGGGTTTGAGCAGCAGGGACAGTGGCTCTAGGAGACACTAGGAGTCTTCCTATCAAAACATGAAGGCTAGACCCTTCTGGAGGGACAGGAACTTGGGCTTTTCGGCTGCTCCCCTTCCTCTATCCCTCAAAGCAGCTCCGAAAAGCAGAAAGACATTAGAGACGGTCATCAAAGCACAGCAGAATGGTCCCCCGTGACCCACTGCTTAACCCTGTGAAGTGTTACCAGCCAGAGACTGAGGTGAAGAAGCCAAAATCTAAAGGAGATGACTCCTGCTGGGTCCACGCCCTCCCCCTGGCATCGCCAGGTCAATTCCATCCCCTCTGCAAGCTTTCTTCCCTACCTTCCCCTTCACTTTAGCCAGGCTGAGTCCCCATTTCAAATCAAAAGTCATTCATTCTGGAGAGAGGTCAAAAAATTTTTATATATATTTTTTTAAAAAACGGAGTAACCAGATAGCTTGCATATTTAGGCCCAGACAAGAAGAGCTGGGACTAGTAGGAAAGGCAGAATAGGGAGTATTTCCTATAGAGCAGAGAGGAAGTTGACTTTAAGAGCAGAAAAGATAGAGTCCTGTTAGCCCAGTGGTCTTCCAACCACAGGTCACGGGGTGGAGAAGGACTTGGAGGAGCTGCCAAGTCAGAAAAGCATCTGACACGGCCCATCACCCTCTGGTTTCTTGGTCCCCTGTGTCACCCAGTTGGTAGAGACACAGCTATGGTACAGGAGTGGATGGCCCTATAGAGGGAAAGACCTGCATGGCACGGGGCTTCAATCTCATGGACCTGAGGTCTAGGGGCAGGGCACAGAGCCAAGAGTTTCAAGCATAAGCCTCTGCCTAATTTCCATGCTCCTGGTTCTTCTTACAACCCAGGCTTTCCCAGGCAAAGGAGGTGGGGGTGAAGCAGAAGAAACAGGTCCTGGAACAGGCCTAGGTCACTAGGACCAAGACTGAGCTGATGATCTTGAACATAAGAAGTTGAGAAAGGACAGAAAGTATTTACAGGAAATGTTCTTAGTATTAATAACATCCAAAATTTACCTAGCATTTTATTATTGATGAAATATTTTCATGCACTTGATTTGTTTTTCACAATCACCTTGGGAAAGTACTACTGTCCAATTTTTTAAAAACAGGAAATCAAGTTTGAGCCAGTGATTCTTCCATATCAGTAGCATGAGAGGTGGAATCAGGACTCAAATCCGGGTCTGGTGAGAGTTTCCTCCTCTCCCTACATCTTCCATTGCAGAACAAAAATGCCAGACCAACTTCCCCCACCTGCTACATAGCCTCCAAGCAGACTGCCTCCACCCCAAAGGAACACAGGGCTAAAGTCCTTCTGGGCCTTAATATTCTTACACGTGGAGCACAGCCATAGACCACTCTGACATGCTGGGACTAACGGCAGCGTCCACTTCCTAAGGCCTCATTGGAAAGGCTGGCCCCTGCCTGGACTACTGAGGTGGCCCCAAAGACAGTACAGAAGGAAAAAACTGTCAAGAAGTTAAAGCTGGGGAAGCTGGACACACTTCCTTTCTTCACCTTGTCCACTCAGCAGAATGCAGCCAGCCAGCCACTCTATTTGGATCTTTTCAAAGCTTTAGCTTCAAGCAGAGGTCACTCTGGTGGGCTCTCAAAATAAACTGCTTAGTTGTTTATAAAAATCTTGAAAGGACCCCAAACTTACTTGTGAGCCAGATGTTCTGAAACATTAAGGCCCGATCAGGACACTCCACAGGAGCATTGAGATTCTTAGGTAGGTAGGGCACACACACTCTTGGTGAGGGGTAGGGTGTCAGGCACAGCCATGGTTAGGGAAGGCTCTTTCCTGACGGACCTAGGACTGACCATTGTTTCCATGTGATGCCCTCTTGTGCTTGCCCCTTTTAACCCATCTCCACCAGCTTCCCAGGCAGTTCAGACATGGCTACCACACTCACAGCCACCTGGGGTAACCCTTAGGCTTTCTGCCCATCCCGGGAGCAAGCACCCTTCCATTCCCCAGCACGATAGCTTTCTCCTCCAGGAACAATTCTCCCTGCATATCCTCCCTTGCTCTCTCATTGCTATTTAAATGATATGCCTTCCTACAGTTCTCTAATTCTACTCATGCTAATTAATTGTGAGCATAGTTCATTTTTCCCTAATAGATTAAAACTCCTTAGAGACAGATGCTATATTGAATTCATTTCTTTGGTTCACCCCTCTCCTCTTGTGTCTGGCTGGGGGTTTAGCTTTAAACTTAGTAAGAGTACAATGAATAACTGTTAAAAATGGAATTTACCTCGGTTTTCTAAAATATAGGTGGTGTATGAAACAGATCAAATAACACAGGTCTACACAGGTCACCTCATTCCATCCGTTGGCAAACCTCATGGAACATGGTTACCATTCTCCCTCCATCTGTATCACCAGGCTCACCGTAGCCAAATCCAGCCAGCAGAAATATAAAACCAAACTGACAAAACCAAGGGTTTCAGTTTAGTTTGGTTATTTAAAGAGGCTAAATTACATAAGCAAAAAGCAAGGGGTCACAGCTATTATGCTTCCCCCAGGAAAACCAAGGGAGGATTGTTTGGGGTCAGAAAAGGTGAGGACAAGATAAGCAAGAAGAAAGGGAGCTTCCAGTAAAGATCAGAACCAAAAGGGTGACGGCCAAGTCCCTAGTGGGTTCCCTGTCATGACAGGAGAGATGAGGCACCGCATTCCTTTTATGGAATGAGAAGCCCAGATACTTCTGAGATAAATGGTCATCATAATTCCAGGGGGGCCGAGAGCCCTGCTCAGGCCTCAAGGTCAGCAGGGACCACAGTATCTGGGAGTGGAGGGGAAAGAAGGGCAGGAGGAAGAGGATCGCTATGAACGTCAAGTTCCAGCAGGACCATAAGAAACAGGGTAAAAATCACTCCAGAAGGTGCTCATGGGAAAGGCTGTGCTCTTCTTACAAGACGAGCACAATCAGTGATGAGGAACCAGGTCCAGATGGGGTGGTGAAGGGTGGATTAGGGGAAGAAAGTTTCCCCACACACCCCTATGTAACTCAACCTCTATTTATTGGCCAAGGATACCAGGACAGAATTTAGTTACCCCCAAATCAAGTTCCAGGGAGACAAGAATCACAAGGGTTGGTGGGAAAAAAAAATAAAAATAAAAAATTTCAAGAATCAGATCTCAGCCAGCAGGGGGAGGAGAAGCCATTTCTGCTAGAGATGTAAGATATTCTCTCTGAAAGAGAGAGAGAGAGAGAAAAAAAAATCTATTATGAACCTGCTAAGTACAAATCTAATTCCAGTTTAAGGATGAGAGGTTCTATCCAGAAAATCCTACTTTCTAAGGCAGTGTGGAGAGGATGCTATCTCTTCTCAATTTCTAATTGAATCGCTCTTTTCTTTTGGGATCACAGAGAGGAAAATAATTTTTCTCTCCAAAGCCAGGCAGGAAACCGGGGTGCCCAGGAGGCCCCTTGCACCTGGGCCTGGCTGTCTAGCCCTCAGACACTCCTTTGCCCAGACTTTTTCATACTTTGAACATTAGTCGCAGGTCGCTCCAGACAAGAGCCCACCTGGCACCAACTCCAGCTCCTCCCTGCTCCTCAGAAGGACCTGGGAGGAAATAGGGGCTGTTCAGGGTAAACCTGCTAGAGCCTCTGCTCCCTCTCAGGGCTGCCTAGCCTCTTTGAGCCCAGCAAACACATCTCTATCGCTGCCATGCCAGGGCTCACCCGACATGCACAGAGGCTTCACTGTCGTGGGGAGGGGCATGGACCTAGGGATTGTGAACATGCTTCTCTAACCCCTGTGGCCCCAAGCAGTACCTGCCAAGGCCTTGATCCGGGACCTCTCAAAGAGCCTGGCTGAGCTGTTGTCATTATCCAGCTCATCTTCCGGGGCGTCCCAGCGGGCATTGATCCGGCTGTACGGTGGCTGGTTGCCCACGTTTTCAAACTCCGTGGCTGATGTCATGCCAGCAGGTTCTTAGCAGCTACGTGGGCCTCAGTCTTCATGGAAGGGTCCCTAGGGGACAGCAACACAGTCAGAGGGTTAGCTCCCCGCCCCCTCTCACTTTTCCTCAGGGGAAACTTGTTCGGAGCATCCGACAGCAGCAGATCCTGGCGGGAGCATCATGCCGGGTCCTCTGCTGGGGCATGCCTCCTACCCGGGGTCTCTGGGTCATGAGTTATAAAATATTGCAGCAGCAGCAGCAGCAGCAGCAGCAGCAACAGTAACGGCAGTGGTGGCGGGGACAGAGCCAGAGAGCTGCAGGCAGCAAGGGTCAGGATGGCCAGCAGGTGGAGACGTCAGTCAGTCGCAGTGAGCCCATTTCCTCCAAACCCGCTGCCGCCGCCCCAGGAAGCAGCGAAAGGGGCAGCTCTCTTGGGAGCCAGAGGCTGGTGGGGGACGAGCTGGGAAAAGCAGCCCCCACCCTGAGTACCGGGGCCAGGAGCTAGTGTGGGGGGAAGATGAGAACAGACAAGGAGAACAGAGAAGCTGGAAGTCGGCTGAGTTCGACTCAAATAGGAATTGGGGTGGAGGGGTAGGGGAATGGGGGTGAGTCTCAAGCGGCCACTGATGCCACAGTCCAGGCAGCTGCCTGTGCTGGGGGGAGTCTGCTCCTCACTGAGGCTGCTCAAGAGTCTTCAGTTCTTTCCTGGGCACCCAATATTCCGAAAGCTGAGCTCTTGTTTTTTGCCCTCTTTGAAGTGCGCCCAGGCGCTGGAACAAGATCTCCTGTGGAATCCCAGGTCAGGCCAAATAGCACGGAGGAGCCTGTGGTCCATGAGGGCCATCAGCATGAGGGGCTGAGACGGGTGGAGAGGGAGTCCACCGGCAAGAATGGGGCCATGGGTCAGTTACCTCTGCAATGAGCATGGGCATCAAAAGCATCACCCGCGCAGGACTCATTTTTGCTTGCTCATTCATTCATTCATTCATTCACAATGAACTCAAATATGTACCAAGCCCAAATGAGGAGGCAGACACTGTGCTAGGCAATTATGCATAAGACAAGAAGGGTCATGTCCTGGGCTGGACATGTGTCTTAAAGGCAGAGCATTTACCTAGCATGTATAAGGCACTGGGCTTGATCCCTAGGACTGCTTACATGCGTGCGCACACACACACACACACACACACACACACACACACACAAGACCACATCCCTATAGAACTTATGCCCTGGCAGGGGCAACAATTAATTAAATGAGCCATTTCAATGAAGTGTGCTGTGTGCCACTACTGGGAAAAAGCAAGGTAAAGTCAGGAAGGGAAGTTTAAGGTGATTGCTAAAGGAAACTTGGAAGTACCCATAAGGGACAGGTAGAAAGGGATAGAAATCCAAGTGAAGGGAATAAAGAGTGGATGCAGAGTTCTGCAGCCCAGAGCAAACAAGACTGAGGAGGCTTAAGAAGAAACTAGAGAGTGAAGGAGGGTCAGGGAAGAAAAGTGAGACCGGTGGCTGGAGGGGCCTGCTGGCTCTCAGTTGCTCTGAGCCTTTTGAAAATGACTGGTTATCTCATCTGCACCTGCCATTCAGGTGTCTCCCTGGAGCTTGGACTCAGAGAGAGTCTGTAAGAGAGAAAAGGGGGCCCAGAGCCTTCAAATCCAAAAGAGCAAAAGAAAGGTGGGGGTTGGAGGCAGGGTGGCAGGCAAATGACCAATGTTGACAATCAGTGAACTGTGGGGGACACACATCTCATTCTCACACACATAGACTCACGTCCAACACACCAACACACACACACCCAAACAGGAACACACACGCAAAAGAAATGAGGTCCCCTAGCCAGCTTGAGCAGAGCTGCAGTGCTGTAGCCCTTGCTCCTCAGAGTCAGAGTCACTTCGGACTTTCTTCCCTCAATCTGACTAATCAATCTCACCACATCCTTTTGAGGTGAGACAGGAGCCAGAATTATCCACCTAATAATTGCACAAGAGAGAAAACAAGCCTAACACAGGATGAGGCCTCCCCAAGGTCATCGAGGAATGACTGCTTCGCTTAGACCAAAGACCAAACTGTAGCCTGGTTTGTCTCCTTCCCTTGGAGGGCTTTTAGGGACACAAGGAGGGAAAGAACATGGCCCCTGTGGACCACTCCCAGCTGCTAGGGATGGGCAAAGGTGTCTGCCACTGGGGGAGGGGAAAGTGCAGGGTGTGGAAAGCAGATATTACCCTCAACACTGCTTTTCCCACCATGCCAGGCCAATGCCCAAGCCCACCCTTGTCCTCTGAATAGCTGTCCTCCATAGAGGACTTGATGCTTCCAGGACTGAATTTCCCACTCAACTGGCTGAGCAAAGAGACCTGGGAAGGACTCTACTCCCCAGGCCTTCCCCCTGGTCCCTTGAGGGGAGCTACTACTGACTTGGAGGTCAGAGCCAGAGGGACTGATGGGCTAACCACCTTCTGCAGGGCCATGATCCTGTCCAGCAGCCCCTGAGGAGGGCCGAGCTGCCAGACACAGACGGCAGCGAGGTGAGATCAGTCCCTGAGCACAGGCGGTAACCAGACCCTGGCGTGCTAGCTCTCTCGCTCTCTCTCTCTCTCTCTCTCTCTCTCTCTCTCTCTCTTCATCCTGGGCTATTTTTAAGAGTGGCCGAGAGAGGCCCAGGCTGCAGGGCCAGGGAGTGAGATTACCTTAGCCATGGCTCCGTAAATAAGTCTGTCTCAGAAAGATGAGCCTGAGCCCGCACACCAGCAGAACCAGCGTTCAAGGCAAGATTGATGGCCCCGGGTGCAGAAGAGCAGCAATTCATCCTGCTTAAAATGCCACCCTTCCTGCGACCACGGCTCAGAGAAGGCAACAGCCAGGCAGTGGCTGTGCCGGGAATGTGGAAAAAAAATATATATATATATGTGTTTAAATCCACAACTATTTGTTTGTTTTTGCAAGGGTCAGTTCCCTGAAGGTAAACACCAAGGAAAGAAGATTCAAAAATGAAAGTAAGGCCCTCTTACTCCTCCTGTCCCCACCCTAGGCCCACCCCAGCCCCTGCCCAGATGGCAAGGTGGGGGGGCAGGATGTGCTCAGGCAAGGAAGCGCTCGGAGAATCAGGTGGAGAAGCAGAAAGGAAGAAAACATGAAAACCGGAAAGCTACATACAGATGGTTATTCCAGAAAGAAAACCCCTAAGCTGTGCCTGAAACCAAATTCAACCCTGCTTTCTCAGTATCAACCATGTCTATTTCCATTACTGTCAGAATGGTCCTTCAAAAGCCCAACTATAAAGAAACCACCATGACTAAAAAGAATAGTATGCATTGGGGAATTATGGAGGGGGCACCTAATCAGATGAGGAGCCTTGGAAATGACATTCAAGATGATAACCTGAAGGAAAATTAGAGATGAGATGATCTGGTCACATTTTCAAGGATGTAAGTAATCTGTGCATCTAGAGTGGCCCTCCATGAGTCATAGAGGACCGCAAGTACATAGCTAAAATTAGACCTCATGCCCCTGTTAGCAAACTCAGGGGATAAAAGGCATATGAAGTAGCTCTTTGTCCATTCATTCCCCAATGCACTCTCAAGCTCCCAAGAGGTCCTCCTCTGAAGCCATCAGATCCCCTGTCAAAGTGTAAGGTGGCTATTCCCTGATCTGTGTGACTCCATGCCCCGGGGAGTTCACCTGCCCTGTCCATCCACCTTCCTGTCTAGCAGCTGAACAGTGCCATCTCCAGCCCCCTTTACCTGTGAGTTTCTGCCACTCCCTGTCCCCAGGCTTTATTTTGAGTAGGATGGGTCCCTATAAACTTGGACATCCACAGAACAATTCTGAAAAGTTCATCTGACTGCATGGGGCGCTCAGTCTCTAAAGGGACACTTACTTGGTAAACGGGTTTCACAACATCACAACCCCCAGCTCTGCCCTTCATGCTTGTCCCTGGAACCAAGAGAACCCAATGGCCACTGGGTTGAGTGCTATGCCTTGCAATCTCAGTCTCATATGCACCTCACTGGGGTGGTGAGAGGAAGTGGTAGTGGCCGTTGCGCTCTCCCTGCCAGGCCAAGCTAGGTCTCACATCAGTCCTCCCCACAACTCAGAACAGAAGGGACACTCTTCTCCCCTCTCCTAACCACCCACCCCCTAAGGAAGTAACTGGTATCCTCTTCTTTTCCATGGGCCACACATAAGCGAGAAGCAACAACGTACAGATCCACTTCAGCACTGGGGAACGGGAGCGAAAGACGGTGGGTGATGCCACTCTTCCTTAGTGGGGCTGAGGTATAGGTCCATGCAGCCCTATCAGCCTTAAAAAGAATTTAGACCCACTCTTTTATTTTCACCCTACCTGTAAGCTTTGTCCCCTCCCTTGCTTTCTGGTTTGACCTGTCCCTTATCCTACCCCAAACCTGCTTTTAACTTATTTGGGTTCCATGGCAACCCAAGTCAGGAGATTAAATCCTGAAGTTCCCCTGGTAACTTTTCTGCCAAAGCAGCACCAACAAAGGAACAGCCCCCTTCCACTTTCTCTGATCATAATCTCACCGAATATTCAGACACCTTAAAGAACAAATACGTATACACACACACACACACACACACACACATAAACTTGCTAAAACAGACGCCATGCGGTCACCAAGTTCTTCCTCTAAATCTGCTTGCAGTCCTAACCTGCTTTCCACCCCCATGCATTAGTCTGGCACTTCCATCCTCCTACCAGTCATCTCCACATAGAAAGTACAGCTCAGACTTCATGTGGCTAAGACTGAGCACATGGCTTCCAGGACAGCACAATGGGGAAGTTCTACCACCATAGGGTGACAGTGAGGCCCAGGTAGCCATGCCAACTGTGGGTGGCCCTTCCAACAGGTGGACATCACCAGCGATGCCTGGATAAGCCATTCCTCCTCCCCAGAGCACACTCTGCTCTTCTGCGTCCTGCGGTTCCCATGCTAACCCAGCCAGTTACTAGTCCATCAGCCACAGGACATGGTTTAGGGTTCTGAAAGCCCCAAGGTTCCTGTGCATGGCTGCCACCATTAAGGAGCCCCATGCATTTGCAATATCCTGG